CATTTCTCAATTTTCATCCATATTATAATAATCATATTATTATTATTTTGAATTTGAAATTTAAAATCCTATTTTAAAATTCAACTTTATTAATTTAGTAATTACCTTAATTACTAAAGTAATATCCAAAATGTAATTAATCAATCTTATTGATTAATATATTCCTTTAATTGACATCTAATCAAATTAGATATTTATCAATTAATTCTAACCATTAGAAATACAATCTTTACCTTTGTTCATAATTAGTGTGACCTTTTAGGTTCACCTTAATACTAGTAGTGAGTTTATAACACTTTGTAATTTGAGTTAAATCTTATTAACTCTTATTCATGAATTAACCCTTTAATTCATGAACCCACATATCATGGGAACACCTAGCAAGTAGCATGAATCTAGTATTAAGTGAATAGCGAGTAAACCTATTCCGATTACAACTCCATACATGTAAAATCCTTTCGACATCTAATTTCCCGATTAAGTCTTGGGTATGATTTTGTCGAAACCCAAATTGACTTAATAACTATGATTCTATTTCATGTTTATTAACCCGGTTATGAATCACTATTCATCTCTGCCTTGGCCAAGGACTTTGGATTAATAACTATGAAACACATAGGAAATTCACTTATCTTCATAAGTGTCGAATCCTTTATTGGCCACTAACAAACTTCCATACATATTAACATAATACCCAACTTATCCCTTTAAACGATAGTGCTAGCTACCAAAAGGATAAATCAAAGTAGAATGTAATATGCACAAAGTTACCATTGTGCCTCAAGTCTTAGGATTAGTCATGTACTATTGTAACATGAAAATTCTTATTCGACTGAATAAATTCTTCATTAAGAATTTTCATACGGTCATGTTCAGTGAACTTGTTCTCTAACAAGCACCCACATAAATGTACTTACGTCTTACGCTAATGTTGATGGAATGCAACATTCTTGTCCAACAAGCGTACAAACTATGTGCAAGTCTTTTATGGATTATTCGATATCCCATCTCGAAACATCCATCGACTTGGAACTGTATTTAAGATCACGGCTTTCAAGGTATGTTCCATGATCACCATCTCTATGCGCAACCATATCTTATAACCATAAGTGATCTAGGGATTTTATCTTAAGTGCAACTATAAGATAAATGCTTTCTCTTAAGATAAAGAAATGCCTTATTCATAATATAATTCCAATAGACTGTATTTACAAGTAGAATACGTCCAATTAGATTGGAACGCCGGGTACCCTACTCTAACAATATGAAAGTGATAAAGCTAGTAATATACTCAACTGATATGATGAATACTTGTTACAAGTGATATGAGTAAAGTTCTCATATTATATATTGAAATCGAGAATGAAACGGATACTATATGAACTTCCCTCAAGAAATTCAAAATACAAATCAAGGATTTGTTAAGATGAGGGGAAGATTCAATGATTGAAATTTGTAAATGATACATTTATCACACTAGAAGTGTGCAAATAAAATGAATGATACTAATGGTGGTAAAATATATGAAATAATATGAGGGTGGAATAATACGCTGGAAGCGTTGGTATTAGTATCATACAAATTATGGAAATATTATTATATGGAATACGCGTTGTACTCTTTTTCCCTTGCCTGAGGTTTTGTCCCACTGGATTTTACCAGTAAGGTTTTCAATGAGGCACCGTAAATGGCGCATTCACATGTATAGTGTACTCTTTTTTCTTAATTAGGACTTTGTCCCACTGGGTTTTAACTAATAAAGTTTTAACGAGGCATATTCATGGTAATGAGGAATACTTGAAAATTGATATAATTCCTCATGATGAGAAGAAGGCATTGGAGTAGTTGTACTCTTTTTCTTTCGATCAAGTTTTTCCCACTGGGTTTTCTTGACAAGTTTTAACGAGGCAGCACGTGAATACTCCACTAAAGATGATCTATTTGAGGGGGAGCAATGTTATGCTTCTGCAGTGGTCAGGTTTTGTCCTAACAGGTTTTCCTGAGTAAGTAATGATGTGATTCCAAAATATTCAGGTTTTGTCCCACCGGGTTTTTCTGACATACTGAAGCACCAATACATGATGGCCATAAGATACAATTCAAGATGTTCAGATTGAGCTTTGCCCAAATTCGTTAATTTTTTTAGAAAATAGTCGTTTAAGGGGGAGTGTTATAAATATTTGTATGGTATGGTGGTTAAACCCACCATCACCAATATATATTATATTATTAAATAATGTATGTGAATGACTATTTTGTCCTTGACGTAATTGTATTATTACGATTATGCCATCAGAAGTTTTCCTATAAATAGGAGCTTCAGTTATAATGAAAAGACAACGAAAAGAAAGCATTCTCTATATTCTCTCTATTTCTCTCTTGTTTTATAACAGTCAATACTTTTAAACGAGCTGGACTCGAGTTGAGATTTTAGCTCGTTATTAAATGAGTCAAGTTAAACCCGCCCGTTTATCAGAGCACCCACAATGTATTGGGTCTAATTTTACATATGTGACATATAAATGGACTTAAGTCATAAATGACATGGACAAACCAAATAAAAAAATCAAAAAACTATTCAATGCAAAAAAAAAAAAATACTAAGTCTAACATACATGTCAACCAATAAAAATGCTCTAATATGGTTTAGGATTGTACTTGGGTTCAAAATAGACCCAAGTGTGTGGACTTAGTCTCTTTTTTTAATTGCCACATAAGTTAGACCATGTTCACTCTTAATTGCATTGAGAGATATTTTTTTATAAACTAAGTCTATTTCCTACGTAACATATAATATTTTATTTAAGTCTATTGCCTCAAACACGGAGTACTTGGCTCGATTTGAACAACAATCCTTTTTCTTCTCAATAACTATATTTTCAAATATAGACATGTTGGATACGGGACCAAATTCAAGTTGGACGAATGTCCCACTATATATTTTATCAAACGACTCTATAACCAATATTAATAACATTGAGAAAATTATCAACATTGAGAATATTAAATTAATATAATGTATGAAATATGCACCACCACCTCAATTATCAACCAAGAAACGACTCTTGAAAGTAACTGATAACTACATAAGTCTGTCGATAAATATAAATTATAATAATGATATATTCCCAATAGTTTTCATCAAAACATTTCTTGAAATGAAGAGGTTTAAACGAGTTGAGATATAAGCGCTTAAACTCTAATTCACACTTGAGTCTTTATCAACTCGATTATCTCATTTAAACAAGTTGAGATATAAGCCCTTAAACTATAATTCACACTTGAGTCTTTATCAACTGGATTCTATAAACGAGTTATCGATATTAAGATTGAACTCGAATTTTAAGGAGTCGAACATAAATAAAATTAGAAAGTTAAATAAAAACCTATATTCTCGAGTATAATTACCGAGAATTTTGTCGTTTAAACCATGTGCAAAATTTTAATTTCAAGTTGTTTAATCAATTTTCCCTAATTCACGTACCTTTATTCATTTATGATATTTTTTTTCTAAACGGCAAATACTACTAATTTAAACTCAAAAAGATTACAATAGATAACCAACTGGTAACAAGAAATCATCTTAACTATCAAATTGGTGTAGATATAATATTAGTATCAAGGATTATAACTATTAGCATTCTTATTTAGTTGTATCTTTTCTATTTTGGTGTTTGTTTGGTTGTTAGTCTCCCTTGTTGGAGTATCTTAGTCTCCTTTATGGAGTAACTTATGGTGTGATTGGATATAAAAAATACAATAAATAATCAATCACTTTCTGCAACATCACTTTTTTTTTTAACTCAAAATATAACTCAATTTCATTATCCTCAATATTATCAATAAACAATAACAATGAATTCTCTTTACACATCACATCTATTTTAATTTACTATTCATCAACTCTCATATTTTAACTACTCATCACTTTCCATCACATTTTTCATACTTTTACATCAAATCAACTTTAAAAATTTTATTTCAAACATTATTTTATATTCTTGTCAGTTCCAAAAGTGAAAGTTCCCTCTTAGACCAACGAAACTAAGGCCACCATACAGGGTCAAGGATGGGGGAATACAACCTCAAATTCTTATTCAAACTTAGCCCAATCAACTTTTTAAAATTAACTATGGTTAAAAAAAAAATTTACTCAAAACCAAAATATCAAATCACAGATCTATATCCAGTCACACTCTTAGTCTCCTTTATGAGTGTTTGTGTCGCTTGTTTGGGAGTGTTTTAGGGATGTTCTTATGCTAAAACGACTTTCATGTGAAATTTGTGATGTAGGAAAGCGTACGAGTTGAACGATATTAATGAGATCGCAATCTCAAGAACACCTAAATACGATATTAATACATAATTTGTTCAAAATCCACCACCTAACAATTAAAGCATAAGAGTCCTTTATATAAGACTCTCAATATTAAAACTTAACTTATTCTCTTCCACCCTGGCGCTTGAGGCGAGTCGGGCTAAGGCGTCGGCCTGCACCTTTTCTGTTCGGGGAACGTGCTCTATTCGAGTTCGGAGTTTTGCTAGCTTCTTTTTTACCAGCCCGAGATAGGGGACCAACCTCGGCTCATTCACTTCGAACTCTCTGGATATTTGCTTGACCATCAACATCGAATCCGAGTATATGATTAAGTCGGTTAAGCTCATAGCTTCTGCTAAGGCCAGCCCAGACAGCAATGACTCATATTCAGCTTCGTTGTTTGTCGCCGGGAAGAGGTATTGAATTGAATGACAGAAGAGTTTCTTCTGGGGATCTACGAGGACGACCCCTCCACCTGCTCGTCCGGTAGTGGAGGATCCGTCCACGTACATCACCAAGGCTCCTCAGCTTTTGCGTTGATTGAAGATTATGAGAGCTCATATCTGGGTTGAGACATATCTCATCGCCAAATATGACAAGCCACTTGTATAAGTTGGAGATTTTAGTTATGAAAAAGGCACAAAATATATAGATTGTAAAAACTAAAATCAATTAATTAAAATTAAAGGTATAATAAAAGTAAAACTAAATAATAATAATAATCATAATAGAAAATCGCTTTACAATGGGCTGAATCCAATATTAGGCTGGACCGATTCTCAGGCCCAATCATACACACAAAAACTCGTTTACAAGTCCCCAACAGAGTAAGAAACGAAGCCAGCATTTTATGGGCTCCAAAGCAGGCTTCCGACCGAGCCTCCTCACCTCCGCCGCATCCTCCTCCTCCACCACCACCGCCACCGCCGCCGCGCCCCGCCGAATCTCGCCGCCCTCCGCCGACGCACTCACCCCCACGATCCTCAACCACCTCCGCTTCGGCCGCCTCTCGAAAGCAGTCTCCGTCCTCTTCTCCTCCGCCGTCTCCTTCCCTTTCTCCCTCTACGCCGACCTCCTCCGCGCCTGCGCCTCGACGAACGCCGTCACCGAGACCCGGAAGCTCGAGTGCCACCTTCTCACCTTCAACCCCAACCCGCCGTCGTTTCTCCTCAATCGGGTCATCGAGAGCTACGGAAAATGCGGCTCCCTGCTCGACGCCCGCGACCTGTTCGAGCAAATGCCCAACAGAGACGGTGGGTCCTGGAACGCCATCATTGGGGCCCACTCTAGGAACGAGCTGCCTCGGGCCGCGCTTGGCCTGTTTGCCCAGATGGCCCAAGAGGGGGTCCGGCCGAGCGAGGTCACGCTTGCTACTGTCCTCGGCTCCTGCAGGGACCTCCTGGAGCTCTGGATGTCGAGGAAGATCCACGGGCTTGTCTTAAAATATGGTTATGTGGGGAATATTATTCTCGAGAGCTCTCTCGTGGATGTGTATGGAAAATGCGGGGTCATGGCCGATGCCCGTAGGATGTTTGATGATATAGAGAACCCGAATGACGTCACCTGGAATGTGATAATCAGAAGGTATCTGGATACAGGCCAGGGGAGTGAGGGATTGAAAATGTTTCGTGAAATGGTGAGGACGAAGGTGAACCCTTTGTGTCACACAGTGTCGAACGCGATTCTTGCTTGTTTGGGTTCTGGTGGAGTTAGAGTGGGCATTCAAATTCATGGATACAGTGTTAAGATCAATCTGGAGTGTGATGAGGTTGTCACGAGTACTCTAATCGGCATGTACTCGAAATGCGGTGATTTGGAGAGCACGAGACGGATTTTCGACTCTCCCGATTCGAAAAACCTGATTAACTATACTTCTTTGGTCTCGGGTTACGCTACAAGCGGGAGATTGGCTGAGGCTCGAGCCCTGTTCGACGAAATGCCCGAAAGGACAGTTATATCCTGGAACGTGATGTTAGCTGGCTACACGCGTGTTTCAAAGTGGGACGAGGCATTGGCTTTTGTGATTATGATGCGTAGAAAAACGAGCGACATGGATCATGTCACGCTAGGCTTGATTTTGAACATTTGTGCAGCAATTCCGGATTTAGAACTCGGAAAACAAGCACATGGCTATGCCTACAGACAAGGGTACCATTCCAATCTTTACGTTGCGAATGCTCTTCTCGACATGTACGGGAAATGCGGCAACTTGAATAAAGCTCGAGTTTGGTTCTACCAGATTTCCCATTTACGGGACAAAGTTTCTTGGAATGCTCTACTGACGGGCCATGCACGTCACGGGCTGAGTGAGGAAGCCATGGAGATTTTCGGGAAAATGCTTGAAGAGACCAAGCCTAGTAAATTCACATTCGCGACCCTTTTGGCCGCTTGCGCGAATATATTCGCGCTCAAGTTTGGTAAACAGGTCCACGCCTTCATGGTGAGAAATCGTTACGATTTCGATATAGTTATAAACGGAGCCTTAGTCGACATGTACTCAAAATGTCGTTGCATTGCGTACGCGATGCGCGTTTTTGAATGGGCCTGCTCAAAAGACGTGATCTTGTTCAACTCCATGATTTTGGGCTGTTCGCGTAATGGGATGGGAAGTGAAGTAGTCCGTTTTTTCGAAGAAATGGAGAAGGAAGGCTTCAGGCCCGATCACGTCACATTTCAAGGCGTGCTGCGTGCTTGTATTAGTGAGGGTTGGATTGAGTTGGGCAGAAGGTATTTTGAGCTGATGAGTGATAAGTGCTATTTGTTGCCGCAGGTGGAGCATTACGAGTTGATGGTCGAGCTGTATGGGCAGCACGGGTTTATGGATGAGCTCGAGGTTTTTGTGAAGGAAATGCCTTTTGACCCGACTGTAGGAATGTTGACCAAAGTGGTTGACTTTAGCCGGAAGTATGAGTGTCTCCGGTTAGGGGAATGGGCTTGTAGTCGGCTTAACGAATTGAACCCGCCGGTTCCTTTCCAGTTTGAGATTGCTGATAACGCGTAGTTGGTGCTGAAACTACAAGTAAAATTGCAGGATTTGTGTATATATGTTGGATTAAATTGGTATTTTGGTATAGAATATGAGGATTTGGTGTTTTGAATTTAAATTTGAAATCTTGTGTCAATTATGTGTTCATTTGTTCAATTTTGGCGCACTTTCTTGGCTAAAGAGTCAATTTTGCTGCCATACCTATGTTAACTGGATCAATTGTTTAATAGAAAGTCGAGATAATCAAATATGCATATGAGATGACATTCTCAATAAGGGTAGTTCATAAATCATTAACAAATAAACCCTCTCCATAACTCCATTCCCTTTGTCTTTTCGAAGGATTATGACAATCTGAGATAGTGTAGCAAATTGTGCTATCGTGCTGTGTTTATACCATCGTTTTTTCATGCTATGCAATTTATTTAGTCATAAATATGACAATATGTCAAATTTTAAACTTCTTTTTTTTTTTTTCTTTTAATTTTCTATCTTTAGGCTCCAAAGCTCAGACTTTTTCTTCTGATATACGAATTCGACCGCCAAAATCAACGAGAAAAACCACCAACACCTTCACAAATGGACCTTCGAGACTTCGACCACTACGCGCGTCTGCTCAATACCTTCACCACCCAACATTCGATTCCAAAGGGGAAACAAATCCACAATCTTTTCCTCAAAATGGGCGTCCTTTATTCCACAGTCACCATCGCCAATCGCCTTCTGCAGATGTACAGCAGGTGCGGATCAATTGGTGATGCCCGCAAACTGTTTGACGAAATGCCCCAAAGAAACCTCTTCACCTGGAACACCCTTCTAGAAAGATACGCCAAGACGGGCCGTAAAACCGATCTATTTAGCCTTTTCCACTCGATGCCCGACAAGAACGAGTTCTCTTGGAACGTGATCCTGTCAGGCTTGACCCGGTCAGGAGATATGGAATCTGCCGAGCAGTTGTTTCGTGAAATGCCGAAGAAGAATGATATAGCGTGGCACACGATGATTCATGGGCATGCGAAGAGCATGAGATCGAGGATGGCCTTAGCGTCGTTTAAGGATTTTCTAAAATGGGAGTCGAGCGAGAAAGGTGGCGTCTTTAGCTCCGATCCTTTCGTTTTGGCCTCGGTTATCGGGGCTTGTTCGGATTTGGGAGCCCTCGATATGGGGAGGCAAGTTCACGCGAGATTGATAATCGATGACGTGGAGTTTGACTCGGTCTTGGAAAGTTCGCTCGTGAACATGTACGGAAAATGTGGCGATTTGGATAGTGCGGGCTGTGTTTTGAACGAAATGGCGGCGGGCCCGGATGATTACTCATTGTCGTCTTTGATTTCGAGCTATGCGAATTGCGATAGAATGAACGAGGCGAGAAGGATTTTCGAACTTAAAACAAATCCTTGTGTTGTGCTGTGGAACTCCATAATTTCTGGATATGTTACAAATGGTAATGCTTTCGAGGCCTTGGTAATTTTCGATCGAATGCACAAGAGTGGGATTTCGGGCGATTTTTCGACATTTTCTAGCGTTATGAGCGCGTGCAGTAATATCGGCAATTTTAGAAATTGCATTCAATTTCACGCATTGGCTAAAAAAATGGGAATCATTTACGATCTCCTCGTCGCTAGTGCTTTTATCGACGCGTATGCAAAGAGCGGATGCCATTTCGACGCCATCAATTTTTTCACCGAGCTAAAAACTTACGACACGGTTTTACTGAACTCGATCATCACCGTTTACTGTAACTGCGGTAAAATTCCCGAGGCAAAATCGATTTTCGACCATTTGGATTCGAAAAGAACACTAATCTCGTGGAATTCAATGATGGTCGGGTTGAGTCAGAACGGTTACCCTTCCGAAACGTTACAACTTTTTATCGAAATGAATCGATTAAATCTCGTCATGGACAAATTTACCCTCTCGAGCGCCATCGCCGCATGCGCGAGTATACCCTCGTTTTCGCTCGGCGAACAAATTTTTGCTCGGGCCGTAGTCATTGGGGTTGACTTTGACCAAGTCATATCGACCTCTCTCGTCGGCTTCTACTGCAAATGCGGTTTCGTAAAAATCGGGCAAAAATTGTTCGACCGAATGACGAAATCGGACGAGGCCTCGTGGAACTCGATGCTGACGGGCTACGCGACAAACGGGCTTGGGCCCGAGGCCCTTGCCCTGTTTCGGGAGATGAGGCTCGCTGAGGTGGCGCCATCTGGCGTCACGTTCACGGCCGTTTTGTCTGCGTGCGATCATTGTGGGCTCGTGGAGGAAGGACAAAATTGGTTTCGACTGATGAAAGACGAGTACGGTATTTGTCCGGGAGTCGAGCATTATTCGTGCGTGATCGGGCTTTTGGCGAGGGCCGGGAGGGTTCGGGAGGCGGTCGAGCTTGTGGAAGGGGTTAGTGAGGAGAGGCGTGACGTCAGCATGTGGGCGGCGGTGCTTAGGGGATGTGTCGAGAGCGGAGATCGGGGGCTGGCGGAGAAAGTGGCGGAGAGGATAATGGAGATTGATTGCCGGAATTCGGGGGCGATGGTGCAGCTGGCGGCGGTTATGGCGGCCGGAGGGGATTGGCGGCGGTCGGAGATGGTGAGGAGGTTGATGAGGGATACAGGGGTTGAGAAAAGTCCGGGGAGAAGCTGGTTGTAAATNATTATTAGGGGCAGAACCACACAAAAGTTGGGTGGGTTCCAACCCTGTCTTAATTTTCTGTCTATGTTAATTTTGTACTGATAAAAAAGTACTTTACCGAACGTTGCATTATATTATCTCAGTGTTAATTTTATTTTGGTCCAAAATAAGTTAAATTTGTTTACATCAAATCAATGAATTATATATTTAGACATTATTTAAGTTTCTTCTACTTTTCCTTTTAAATTATTTGTCTCTTTTGTGTCCTTCTTGTGTTTATTTTTTATTATTTGATTAAATAGATTTTATTTGAATAATTTTATTCGAGCTAATATTTGTTTGTGTTAGACTTTCATTAGAATACTTAGTATGTAATTGAATTTATAGATTTTATAATCAAGTTTATATATTCACTGAATTTATAAATGATAGTTGATTATATGACATTTATTTACTATTAAATCTCATTTATTTATTTGACAAATTCAATGAAATGACAATGTACTTTAAATGACATGACATAGTACAAGAATGACGAGATTATTGTTTTATAGTACTTCTTTGAATAAATTATGTTCTTTTTAATTAAAATTCAAGTACATGAGAAAATTTATCTTTGTGCATTTTTAAGAAAAAAATTATGAAACAATTAAAAATAAATATTTGTCATATGTATAAGCGAATAGTTAAAAATTCACAAGTTTTTGTTCAAGGAGAGTCATATCCATATAAAACATGACTAGTTAGAAAGTATAATAATTTTTATATTTACTGTGTGATTCAGGTAATTTATATTAAATTTAAAAACAATTTTCATACTTTAACTTCTTTAAACATGTGTCTAGCTAAATTTTTCGAATAAAGTATTTCAAGTTCAGACTCGTGCTCATTTAATAAACGAGTTGTCGTGGCTTATCTGATTAATAAACAAATAAAAATTTGAGCTTGAGTTCGACTGGTATAAACCTTTAAAACCTAAAACAAAAACCAAAACTCTTAACTGATGAATTATTCGCGAACACGCTCAACTCGACTTGTTTGATAGACAAGCTCGATTAGTTATTTGATTTTAGCTTGTTTAAATATACAAGAAAGTCAAGCTCGAACTTTTACAAATCGAATTAAACTATGTAGAGAACATATCCGTTTGAATAAAACTTTTACAAGTCGAATTAAACTATGTTAGAGAACAACTCCATTTGAATAACAACATATTTTCCAGCCCAGGGTGAATTTTTATTTTTATTTTTATTTTTATTTTTATTTTTTTTTTTTATTATTATTATTATATTTATTATTGTCTACACAAATTCTTGTATTTTTAGGGTAGTCAGATAGGTAAAATCGTATTGATGAAAGTGAATATTTATTATCAAATTTTATGGGTCTGAGTCATCGTATTTTTGGCAAAAGTACTGTATATTTATTATCAAATTGCATACTTCTGTTTATATTATTAATGCTTGATATATGATACTTTAGAATGAAAATATATATATTTGTGAGTAAAGTATGTTGATTTAATTGAAGAACTATTGTCCTTATTATAGTTACTACTGTAACACATGTGTATTTAACACGGGTGCTAGTTAAATATATTTTATTTATTCAAAATAAATGAAAAGATAAAATATATATTAAATTTTAAATACTTTTTTAAAAGGTGTATTATTATTTATTTATATTTAAAATGATACTCTTCATATGTATGAATTACCTGCCTTATTTTATATAATGTTACTAACTCCTATTAAATTAGACTATAGATATTTTTTAAGTTAATACATAATATTATTGATTTTCAATTCGTATTAATGTTTAATTAAATATTTATAATAAATATAAATTAAATTATTTGTTTATTTTTATATATGCAATATGAATGTCAAATCGAAACTCGTCAAGAGATGATTAATTGGATATATCATATATGAAAATTTTGTAGCAAATAAGTTACCAATTTTTAAAATATATTTTATACTTTAATTCAATCAAGCATTCTATAACTTTAGAAGTCCTAATAGCTAAAGATTGAAGTCAAAATCTACATGACTACTCCGAAACACTAAAATTTGACACATATAATTATGAAACACGAATTCAACATACAAATTAGAAAAATAATGCATTTATATATAATAATGTATAATAATGTGGGATTACTACTACCTCTTCTGCACGAATAAATATTCCATATTGTTCAAATGTATATCTTGGACAACCATTATGGAGTAGCTATTTTGTACTAGAGATTGACCAATGTATGTAACAGTGTTGACCACAAGATGAGACTTATGACTAGAAGCTCACTAGATGGATAATGGATTCTTGGTGTTGACCAATGTATTTTCCTCTTATTCATGCTTTAGTTTGTGCCATGAAACAGTTGACTTCATAAAAAAAATTCTAAGCTCCAAGACATTGTAAAGATGGACATTTCTTTTTTGGTCCTCTCTCGTTTTCATGTTTGCATAAGTCTACATTCAGGGGCGGATTTACAGAAAGATGGACATTTCTTTTTTGGTCCTCTCTCGTTTTCATGTTTGCACAAGTCGTACATTGGATATTAGTTTCATTTTGCACATGTTATTGTTGTTATTATTATGTATCCTTGTCAAATAGTTAGGTAACATTGAAATCAAAACAAGAAATGAGTGGATCATATGAACTCGCCAAAACATGGGGAACAATACTTAGAGGGAGGAGTGGAATTAAATATGTCTGAGGACATAATTTTACTTTTGAAAATAAAGGAAATTCAGTTATTGTACATTGTGGCAAATTGTGACATATGCTATCTCGACTTATTGGAAAAACGAGATCACCGTCGTAATTAGTTCATGTCGTAATTAGTTAATTATTCATTTCCAGCTTATTTATTATTATTCCTTTTAACACTAATTAGTTTCGTATGTGAATATTTATTTATTTTATTTATTTCTTTTTTATTGGGTAAGTTAATTATTTAGAGTTTTTGAAACTCTATATATTTATGTGCATAGGGCTTAGTCGATCGGTTATTGAAGAAATAATACAGAAACCTTAGAGATTTATCTCTTTTAGTTCCCTTTCGTATACGCTCGTTGCGTCAGTTGATATCTAGAGATCAACACAATCCATGATGCCTCGAAGGAGAAACGATGCCGATGTGAGACGCGGTACTGCCATCGACGTACTGAGGCAACGATGCGAGACGGCGGACCGTCACATGGCGGGTCTGACCTCGAGATCGAGGACCTCACCCTGGCTTTCAATAGCACTCTTCACGGTGATCGGTTGAACTGTTCCCGGGGCGGGCGACACGGTGGGATGCACGGAGGTCGCGGCCGAGGCGCACGTCGGGCTCCCCGCGCCAGCCTCCACCGTGGGTCGGAGAAGGTGATGACGACGAAACTCTGTCTGAGTTTAACCCTTTTGGTCATCCGACTGGAGATGACGATTTTTCGGCCGAGGAGCGTCGGTGGAAATCGTCTTTTCACGTTGATATTTTTGAGTTCACCGACGGCTTGGATGCGTTGGAATTCTTAGATTGGATGGCCGCAGTCGAGACCGCACTGTACTATAAGGAGGTGTTGGATGACCGAGGTGTGGTGTTGGTTGCGACTCATTTGCACGGTCGGGCTGCCGCTTGGTGGCAACAGCTCAAGGCGACGCGATATCGGCTCGGCAAGCCGAAGGTCTCTGGGCTGGGAAAAATTCTGGAAATTCATGGAGCTTGAGATTATTCCTTTTAATTATGTGTGTACGGTTTATCAGCATTTGCAAAATCTGAGGCAGGGTTCGCGTTCAGCGGAGGAATACATCGATAAATTTTATTGACTTCTTACAAGGGTCGGTGTGTGTGAGATGACCGATCATCTCGTCTTTTGGTATATCGGCAGATTGCAAGTACCGATTCAAGATACGTTGAATTTGTTCGCGCCCATTTGATTTCGAACGAACATCAACGGGCCCTTCTAGTTGAACAATAGTTGTCGCACCAGGCTGGGCCTTCTTTCATCCCACCAGCGCAGCCGGGATCGAGCGCCATCGCGGGGGCCCATGTCAGATGTCGGGGCACACAACAGCGCCACGTTCGGGCACCCACGCAGCTGTAGTGGTTCCAGGGGAAGGGCACACAACAACTCCGGGTCTAAGTGCGTCAGCGGCTGCAGCAGGTACATAGGTGGGGAGTCTGCCGGCGGCCTGAGGTGCTTCTCGTGCAGTGAGGTGGGGCACCGACATGCAATGTTTGTCGACGAAGCGGGCGACCAGTTTGACCACACCTTGTACGACACACCACAGCTCTTCGATGAGGAACCTCCGATGACGGAGGAACATTTTTTTGGAGACGTGGGCCTTGCCCTCGTTATTCGTCGTTCTTGCTCGGCGCGGCATGTGTCTTCCAAGGACTTGGTACAAAGTCACCACATTTTTTAGTCCACATGCACAGTTGGCGGCCGTGTTTGTCATTTCATTATTGACTTTGGAGTCTCCGATCGTGCGAAAACGTAGTCGCGCAAGTGGTCGTAGAAAAGCTTCGCTTGTCGAGCGAGCTGCATCCTCAGCCTTATACTCTCGTTTGGATACAACATGGCAATACTATCACTGTCGACTGTCGCGTGTCATTTTTTATTGGAGCCACATACAGAGACTCGGCTTGGTGTGATGTCGTGCCTATGGACGTGTTACAACTTCTGTTGGGTCGTCCGTGGCAGTTTGATCGCTCGGCCGGGCATGACGATCAACTTAACACCTACATTTTCGTGTCTGAGAGTGTTAAGATTGTTTTCCATCTGTCTCCGCCACGGGCTTTACCGTGCTCTGCGCCATCACCGGTCTTGTTCCTGTCTCGCATGACATTTGTTGACGAGATGCGTGAGGCTCCATTTGTTCTTCTACTGTTATGCGAGAATGATGTCTCCTCAAGCCATGAAGCTGCCGAAAATCATCGACCTCATCAAATTCATCCAATTTGAGGCAATCAAACAAGGTTTTACATGTCCGTCTCAAATCAAATCAAATCAATGCTCCTTGATTTGAGCCTAAACTATCCAATCATCAATGCTCTTTGATATGAGCCTAAACTATCTACAAATTCAAATGCTCTTTGATATTATTTTAAACCATCTAGAGATTCAAATGCTCGTTCATATGAGCTTATACTATCTAAAAATTCAAATGTTCTTTCAAATGAGCTTAACCTATTTACAATGCTCTTTGATATGAGTTAAACTATCTATAAGGTGTTGGAAAAAATCAGTATAAAATTTGAGTTTGACCTGATTTTGACTGAATTTCTTATTGTTAAACATTTAATCCAGGTTGAATTAAATCGTGTACAAAAATTTTACGTTCCGAATCGGTACTCGTGATATATTTATTTTCTCAAAATTGACTTTCGATGAGTGAGAAATAAATGATTAAATTAGCTATGAATGGAATGGTTGTGGTTCGAAGGGTCAAAAGTTCTTCCCACATTCAACTCTTAAATGAGATTAACACTCTTTATTATAATAAAGAGAGTTGAATAGGTTACAACAATAACAAAGTTACGCACCAAGTGTTAGTGTTAACGTCGGCCACATGTGCGCGCCGGCTGGTCGTCCTTGGGCATTGATTATTGGAACATGGTCCGTACAATTTTTACATAGGATCATATTTCCATTAGTGGGGTGTTCTTATGTTCCATGGCCATCACAGGTGGCAGGGCTGGCTCCTTGGGGAGGCAGCCTAGGCCCATGCCTAGGGCCTCCCCATATATTTGGGGCCTTAAATATATATTTTGTGTGGAAATTTGAGGCCTTAAATTTTTCATTTGTTTTCTTATGATGTTCGGTTAGAACAACTGTGTGAGAATAAATATTCTTTGCAGTGATATGGTTTTTATTTTCTTCTCCTTGTTGTTCTAATGACTGCTTGAATGTAAATTATTAAAGATCTTTGTAACCTATAGGTAATTTATCAATTTAAAGGTCTAGAAAAATAAGAAAAATTATTTTTTTTTTCAAATATTTATTTATTTAATAGTCTTTTTTAATTAGGTTTTTTTCTTCTATGATTTTATCTGCAAATAGCCTAATTAACACGTAAGTTCAAATCGGAAAATTCGAAAAGGACAAACTTATCTAGGGCCTCCGAATTTCTGGAGACGGTCCTGACAGGTGGAATCAATTAACCAAATATGCACTGTACTAATTGTTATAAATTAAAAGCTTGTACCATTTAACATTGATGTGACAATGACCATCATAGGTTGAATCATACTAACCAACAATTTTACATTGATGTGTACATGGCCATCATAGGTGGAATCAATTAACCAAATATGCCACTATACTAATTGTTATAAATTAAAACCTTATACCATTTTACATTGATGTGTACATGAGAACTCACAAAAGAATCATAAATTTTCTTAATTGAAAAAAAAAAGAAGTATTTATTGCAATTTTTTGCATGATGAAGAACTGCAAAATGATCATGAACAAACACATGCCTGTAATTGCCATGATATTCACACAGTTCATATATGCAGCCATGTTTTTGCTTTCCAAAGCGGCTATTTCTTCTGGAATGAAACCTTCTGTTTTTGTCGCCTATCGACAGGCCTTGGCTGCACTTGTCCTAGCTCCCTTTGCTTATTATGTCGACAGGTTTAATTTTGGAAACAAATTTAGNAAAAGTAAACGCCAAAATTTCAGGTCAATTAATTTTTAAATTTTATCGTTTTTTTGGTTGGTATTCGTGATTCAGGACAAGGTCGCATCATCGCCTGAGCATCTATTTACTGATCAAGATTTTCATTGTTTGCTCCTTTGGGTATGCAACATTTGATTTCATTTTTTTGTTTTTATAGTTAGGCTTAAATTTAGACTTAATAATCTCAATAATAATCATTTGACTTTGCATGTAATTGTTATTTTTGTAGGATGACCCTGTCACTGAACTTACATTATGCTGCCTTAAACTACATCTCTGCAAATTTTGCTACGGCTATCACGAACATGACTCCTGCTTGGGTTTTCATTATAGCAGTTTTGTCGAGGTATAACTACGTACACAAATGATGTATTGATGCATATTCAAAACTGATTATTATTAGATGTATGAATGTGTATAATTTTGAATAACTCGGTACTAATTATTTGTTCACTCTATCAAAACAGTAATACCTTCATTTTACGAAACATATGGCTAGATCAGAATACTAACTAGAAAAAAACACATTTGAAAATAGTGGAATGTATAAACATAGTAAAATTATCATAAAATCAAATTTTATTATTATTTTTTTCCTTTTACTAGGACCCTTCACGAGGTTTATTTGAGCATGTTAAAAAAAAGATTCTTAATTTGTGCATGTAGGATTGAAAACCTAGAAATAAGAGAGAAACATGGATGGGCCAAAATATTGGGCTCAGTACTCAGCATCTCAGGAGCTATGGTCTTCACATTCTACAAGGGGCCACACTTATACTATGGATCCAATAACAAGGCTCATAATCCAATTGCAAAGAGCTACTCAAAAGAAGAATGGATCAAAGGATCCCTTCTCTTGATTGGAGGAAACTTGACATGGTCCATTTGGCTTGTCATGCAGGTCCAAGTTTGGTTCCATATTACTTTTTTCTTTTTACCTAATTTATTATTTGTTTGTTTATTGTAAATTAAATTTGAAGTTTTAGGCTCCAATTTTGAAAGAATATCCAGCAAAATTGAGGCTTACAACGTTACAGTGTGGCCTCAGTTTCTTAGTGTCAGCAGTGTATGGTGCAATTAAGGAAAGAGATATATCATCTTGGAAGCTTGGTTGGAATATAAACCTCTTGTCCGTGGTTTATTCTGTATGTATATCTAATATCTCTCTAATAATATAATATTTTATAGTATAAGCATGATATTTCATAATATAAGTATGTATTTTTTATATTTAAATATGGCAAGTCGATCCACACACGAGCACAAGAATATGTGAGGACATAAGTGTTAGGTTGAAATCTTTTGTGTTTCAATTATTTATCTTTTTATAGTATTCCTTTTTTTTTTTAACTTAAGTCCAATTTTATAATTAAATTTTAATGATAAATTATATTAATTTTATTCAAACGAAGCTTATATAATACGTCTACTTCTCACAAAATACTTATGGAGAATTTGACAGTACCGATGATTGTATTGCAGTCATTGAGTTTTTATCGTTTGATCAACACATACATACATACCCACAAATATGTGTTGATCGAATGGTAAACAAATCTAATGATTGCACAACAATATATTAAAACCTACTTAGTAGTAAATTACTATCCAAAAGTTAACTATCAATAGAAAAAAAGTAAATTTTAAATGGACTATTAGTAAACTATTTTGGGCCGGCGACTAATTACAAATTATCCATTTTTCTCATTATAATGCACTAAATAAGAAATTTTGAGAGTAAGGAAAGATAATTACTGAAGTGTAAGAGATAGATAAAATAAGGTGATTAGTACTAAAATATCATTATGATGAGATGAACTAATTTTTAGATGTGATGATACCAAAAATACATGTTATCAATATAATCATGTATATTTGGATATTGATCAAAGGTAAATTCCAGGGCATTGTTGCATCCGCCATAAACTATTCAATGCAAGTTTGGGTTGTGGATAAAAAAGGTCCAGTATTCACTGCAATATTCAGCCCATTAGCACTCGTGTTGACGGCCCTCTTATCAGCTATTCTTTTTCATGAATCACTCTACTGGGGAAGGTCAGGGCCCAATAGTTTTTAAATTTTGTCCTTATTAAATTTCTCTTATTGTTTTAGATAAGTGAGAATGTACAATTAATTTATTTATTTTTAATGAAGATGAGATTATACTTAATTTGTAGTGTGTTGGGAGGTGCAATGCTAGTGGCTGGGCTTTATGCTTTCTTATGGGGTAAGAACAGAGAGGCCCAACTTGGAGCCCAGAAACAGATGAATCCATCAAAAAAGGAGGAAGCTCATTTGGAGTCCATAATTACCTCCAAACCAACCAATGATAGTGGTTCTTCACAAAGCCCGGATAATTGACTGATCTCTACTGCAAAGCCCAAAATCCATTTGGTTGAAGAGCTTACAATGCTCGTTCATTATACCTTCTGAATTTTCTTTCTCTCCAAACGTGTAATAAATGGGGAACTGCTATTCTATTGAAGGTTGAATTTCTTTTCACAAGCAGAGAAGAAAGTTGTTCTACTAATTCCCTATCTTTTTTTTTTTTTTTTTTTTTTTCTNTTTAGACGTAGTGAAAGCTTTATTTTCTTTATAAAAATAAAAAAAAAGTATTAATGGCGTATTTGTTTAAAGGTTTAAACGAGCAATTAAACGAGTTCGAGTTCGACTAATTAACGAGTCGATATAATAAAAATTCAGAAAATACGTAAATACATATGTATCAAGCCTAAATCTATTACTATATAATAAGGAGAAGAAAAATTATTTGAAAAACTTTGAAAAAAATATTTCATTTCCCACTTCTTTAGTCATTCTTTCCCGCTTCTGTTTTTCGTTATAACCATTTTCTGTTATAACCATTTTAATATCATTTTCTGTTATAACCATTAAATTATAAATGTATTTTAAAAGTTGATAAATTTTATATTTTTTATCGGTTTTACATATATAATATATTGAATTAATCATCTTTTGATGAGTTTCGATTTGACATCCATATTGTATATATAAAATAAATAAATTATATTTATCTTTATAATAATAATAAAATTATTTATTAAAATTGATTAGAAAAATATAATTATTTCTCAATTAATATATTTATGTTTAATGCAGTTATATGTTATAAGCTATAAAATTATTATAATATAACACAGGTAAGTTGCACAAGTAACAAGTGTCATACTAAAATATATAATAATATATATTTTTTTTATAAAAAGTATTTAAATTTCAACCACTTTTTCTCATTAATTTTAAGTTTTAAAAAAAAAAAAAAAAAATTAGCAAGCACCCGTGTAATACACGGGTGTTGTATTAGTAGTTTTAATAAAACACAACAAATATTTGATGTTTTAAGAAATGTATTTATTTTCGGTAACTCAATCTGTAAACAATTGCCTCAGGGCGTGAGGGGAACTGGCTGATGGTGGAGAGGTAAAGGCCCCGTTTGGTAGATAGCGAATTGAAGATAAATTAGCGGATTAGACTTAATTGAGAGGTTTGATCCGTCAAATCCGCTATTGAGCCTGTTTGGTAAATAGCTTATTTGATAAGCTTTTTGGGCCCAAAACTCTAATTTAAAAAAAGCACATTAGAGCAGCTTTTTGGGATAGAGGATTCACAAAAAAACTCACCAACTTTAATTTGTATTATTTATTTTACAATCTACATTGGTTTATGGTGCTATTAAATAATAATATGTCATCCACATGATTATTTTATCTAGAAAAATGTAAAATTCATAACTTCTTCATCAAGTTTTAGTAAATTTAAAAAAAAAAATATTTATAAAGTACCAACTAAAGAATATTAAATGTTTTAATATATTATTATTAAAAGAATGCACCCTAAATAATAAAATGTACTTATTGGCCATTTTGCAATGTCAAACAGCTATAAGCTTTCAGCTATTTGCCAAACACTTATTTAAAAACCGCTAATGCAATCCGCTGGTCAAATCAGCTAATATAATCTGATATTCGCTATCTGCTGATACAATCCGCTATCCGCTATCCGCTGATCGTCAAACAAGGCCAAAGCCTTAGTGATGCCAGAGGTCAGGAGTTCGATCCTGACTATCGTGGGGAGTGTGAGTGGGGCATTGCACTCTTCCTGGGAGAATTAGTCTCACCCTATGGTGGTGAAAAGCTGGCCTGTTAGGCTTGACCCTTATGGACCCATTCCCCCGACCGCTGGTCGGTCTTCCTGGGTGGGCCGGATGATGGTTGGAGCTCAGCGTCGATATTCCGGATGAACGTGGAGATACCTCCCAGTCGATGAAAAAAAAAAAGTTCCGTAAATAATTCAAATAATTTAGCATGCATGACTCATGTTATCAATACATTGGATTTCAACACATTATTGAATGTGTCAACTAATTATATAGCAGAAAACAAGAAACTCGTTCTCTTTAGCTTGAAATTGGTAAGAGTTAAGAAGTCAAAATGATGTAAAAATTAATTCCCAACATTATTATGAAAGTTAGCTGATAGATTATGTGAGTCACATGCAAATTCAATGAGATGCCAACATATTTCACATGTTTAGTGATTGATATTATATAATATATTACTTTTTGCAGGGCAAATGCAAGCTTTTTGCATGCAATTTGAAGAAGCATATGAGAATGAAATAATTGTCACATAGTGACGAAGGAAAGGATGTGACAAAGACAATTCATTAAAAGCAAAATCTTATTAGATTCTAAGGAACATTTATTCTCATGTTCTTTAAGCATTCCCCAAATTATAATGAGTGGTTTGAGTTTGAGCATATCCCTTTCAAATGGTAGAAAAAGAGGATAATTTGTGGAGCATATTCGCCCTATTGGCTATTTGTTAGCTTTGCATCTTCTACAATGGACCATTTGAGATTCATATATTTAGTATTGATTAAATGAGAACCATTAGTATTATATATAGAATCATAAAAAAGTAGTGTATGAAATTAACATAATTGTGTATTATGTTTTTTTGTAGTGTTATATAGAATATACCAATATAGAGAGTTAGGTTCCATTTATTTATGATCCTATATATACACAAATTATGATTTTGGGCCGTCATACTTATTTTTTAACAAGATTGATATGAGCAACTAAAATATGTGACTTTAAAAAACTATAAACCTAAAAATTCTGAATAAAGAAAAAAAGAAAAAATCCTTAAAACTTGAAAAATCTTAGGAAAAAGAAAAACCCTTAAACTGAAACCTTACATTTAAAAATAAAAAAAAAATAAAAATTACAAGT